TGTTGAGACAGCAGCAGGCTGCTGCTGGTGGGTCGATGCACTCGCGTCGACCCGAGACTTTGAAGATTGACATCTCAAAGTATAGGGGGGTCGAAGAGGACTCCCTCTTGAGATGGTTCGTCGAATTGGATGACGCCATAAGGGCGCGTCGCATCGACGACGGGGATATGCAAGTTGCATTTGCCCAGTCAAATCTGGCAGGACGTGCCAAGACTTGGGCACTGGGGATCAAGTTGCACGACCCATATGCGTTTGGGTCGTTGGAAGTCTTCAAGTCGCGGCTCAGACAAACGTTTGAACCGCCTAGAGCTGAGTTCAGAGCTCGAACCGAACTCTTGAAGCTCAAGCAGGGTATGCGTGATGTGCACGCTTACGCGCAACATATACGACATCTTACGAGTTGTATAAGTTCCAATCCGGTGGATGAACACACGTTGGTTTCGGTGTTCATGCAGGGTCTTGCGGATGGTCCCGTCAAGACTCACCTGTTCCGACTTGAACTAGATTCACTAGAACAAGCCATTTCCATTGCGGAACAGGAATACTTCAGTCTGAGACAGGCTCGCGCCAGCTCGACATCATATCGTCAACCGAGACGATATGACAACGGAGGTCCAAAGCCGATGGAACTCTGTTATGTAGAGAGCGAGAAGGCTCGCTCTACAGACTACAAGAAGTTGCAGAGATGCAACAGATGTCAAAAGACAGGACACTACGCTTACGAGTGTAGTGCCCCTCGTCCAGTGTCTCGCAACACTGGGCGTAGTGACCGTTCACCCATGAGAAAGGGGCAGGGTCGCGGGTCCGCTGTTGGTGCAAAGACGCAACAACGGGATGGACCGTCAAAAAACGGACAGGATCAGTAGGTGCGGAGCACCCTACTGGTCCAGAAACGTCAAGAGAATTTGTAGGCCTCTTGATGAAGGTTGCTCCCGACACACAAACGTTGTGCGTTGCTGCTCTAGGTAGTGAGAACTCACTCATTACCTTGAAACTCGAAGTGACAATTAAGAAGCCCTTCGAGCTCTAGTCGATTGTGGGGCGTCCAACAATTTTGTGCGACGCCAATCGCTAGAAGATGGTCACTTTAAGCTCAGTGAATGTGACACACCTCCTACGAGGATGAAGGTACGTCTTGAGACAGGCGCATCCGTAGCCTTCATGAAGCGTATAGTGAAGATCCACTATACGCTAGAAGATACCCAATATGACGATGACTTTATCGTATTGGATTTGGATGACAAATTTGATGTCATCCTTGGACAACCGTGGCTCAGAAGGTACGAACCACGAGCAAACTGGCAACATCGAACAGTAACGATGCCTGCCGCTTGTTCATCAGATGGCCATCTGATGAAAGTTTTGGAGCGTCCACAAGCGTGTGGATGTACTACGAGTGAGTGCGATGGCCTCACTTGTGGTACGGTCGTTAGTACGACTGCACAAAATCTTAGTGTACCAAACGGTTACACTTCGGAGCAAAGATCCGGCGGCTGTGAGGAAACACAGGCTGCGCCGAAGGTCCACCACTCGAATAAGTCGAGTGGACCGGGACAAAGATGTATCCCTAGCGGGGAACATCTAGAAGAGAAACAATCGATCGCTCAGGTTAAGCGAAACGATAATCCTAGATCGACTGGAGAGTCTTTCGTATAGGATCTCGCTGTGGTTGCGCAACCCCAGCTAGAGGAAGTTAAGGGAACAAGTCCCGATATTACAGATACGGCGGAAATAAGTTCCCCGAAACCCGCGGGAATAAGTCCCCGGGAAGCCGAAGGAATAAGTCCTTCAAGGCCTGAGGGAATAAGTCCCCAGGAAATGACAGAGACATTGAATGTCCTAGTTAATGATGGATCAAGTGTGGGCGCTTATACACTTGATCTGATTGCGCCTCCGAAGTTGACTTCGGAGATCACTCAGTTGCCAACGCTCGAACATAAAAGGTTCTTGCGTGATCTGCGTAGTGGCAAAGTCAAGCAGATCTGCTTACTCGTCGCTGACGACGAGTGTGTAACCGACATAAGGTCAGCAACAGTGTTTACTGAGAACGAGAGAGTTCTCAGTATTTCATCAATTGACGAGAGTGTCCTCGATGAAAAGACACGAGTTGAGCGATATGACTCCCAATCGTGGGAATCGCTCAAGACAAATCCTCTCTATGAAGATTTGGTTGAATTCAAGGATGTATTCCCTGAAACTGTTCCGTGCGAATTACCGAAGGATAAAGGTATTCGACACGAGGTCGAGCTTAAACCAGGCTCGAAATACTGTGTCATGAAGCAGTGGCCACTGCCTCGTGAACAAGTACTTGCGATCGACAAGTTCTTTGCCGATCGTTTAGCTGCGGGCCATGTGAGGGAATCAACTTCCCCACATAGCTCTCCGACCTTCTGTAAGCGAAAAGCAACAGGAGGGTGGCGGATAGTGCATGCATTTAACAAGTTGAATGCTGCAACGGTACCGGCTCAGACGCAGATACCAAGGAAGGACGTAATCATTGATGGTATGTCAAAAAGTACCATCTTTTCGTCCATTAATTTGATGGATGGCTTCTATCAAATCCTTATGCGAGAACAGGACATGCCCTATACCGCAGTTAGCACGCCTAGCGGCATGCTCTGGTAATGGCTAATAAAGCCACAAGGGCTTAGTTATGCCCCTGCCACGTTCAACAGATGTGCATCACATCTGTTGAGACCAGTACGAGAATTCGCGCCGAGTTATTTCGATGACGTATTCATCCATATTCGAGCTATGGATAAAAAGTCGGACGTTGAGGTCCACAGGTACCACGTCCGACAGGTTCTTACAATCATGAGAAAGCATCAATTGTATGCTAACCTCAAGAAGTGTATACTTGCAGCAAGCGAAATACCACTTCTTGGGTGCATCGTTGGTAAGAACGGTGTACGTCCTGATCCCGAAAAGATCAAGGCGATCACCGACTGGCCTGTGCCGGTTGATGTCAAAGGTCTTCGAAAATTCCTTAGGCTAGCGGCGTATTTGCATAAGTATTCACGCAATTACGCCGAGATGACTGTGCACCTCTCTCGTTTGTTGAAAAAGATTAAGAGGTGGTTATGGAACGCTGAATGTCAGCGCTCCTTTGAGGGTATCAAGCAGATCTTGATACAATCCCCAGTCCTAGCAATAGACGATCAGGACAGGCCATTTCATGTGGTCTGTGATGCCAGCGATTTCGCAATCGGCTGTGCATTAATGCAGTACGATCTTGAAGGCGTTGAACGCGTCATCTGCTATCAGTCGCGTCATCTGCAACCAGCTGAGCGGAACTATCCAGTGCATGACAAGAAACTCCTTGCCATGAAGTATGCACTCGCGAAGTTCAGAGCCTATCTCTTAGGAGATAGACCCTTCATTGTTTACACTGACCATGCGTCATTACGCACGGCAGTGAACAGCCCGCACCTTTCACAACGAATGGCGCGGTGGTTGTCATTCTTTGCAGAATACAACTTTACGGTCGAGTACAAACCAGGACGACTTAATGTCGTCGCTGATGCACTCTCACGTCGTCCCGACTTTGAAACAGTCGCGAAAACCAACAGTGAGACAGTCACTGTTGAGGTTATGACGTCCTCAGTCCCATCTACAACGTCGAATGATGATGTGAGGAGGGCATACGCCCAAGATGGTGAGATTGTGAAGTTGTTGACACATCTCTCACAGCCATCTCGAGAATCGTTGAAACGATTGTCGTCTGCGTATCGATCTGCATCAGATCGATACACTACTCGCAACGGGTTACTGTATTATACAGCCGTTTCTGGTGACACACCACGTGTTGTCATTCCAGATGATACTGATCTGCGTTTGCGGATCATGTTCGAGCATCACGATGCTCCTATAGGAGTACATCGTGGCCGGGAGAAAACATATCTCACGGTGAGTCGAGACTTTTACTGGCCCCACCAGTATCAGTTTGTGCGAATGTATGTTCGCGCATGCGAAGTCTGTCAACGAGTGAAGTCAAGTCCTTCACTGCGTGCACCTTTACAGCCTCTACCGGTTCCGGCTGAGTGCTGGGAATCCATTTCAATGGATTTTGTCTTCGGTTTACCCAAAGACGCACGCGGGAATACGGGTATTCTAGTATTTGTTACCAAGTTCAGCAAAATGGTACACCTTGTGGCTGTACCAGAGACAATCACGGCAAGTGGCTGTGCTTGTGTCTTTATTGACACCATCTTACGACTTCATGGGTTGCCCCGTGAACTCGTATCAGACAGAGATCCACGATTAACTGCTGATTTCTGGCGTTCCGTGTTCAAATCACTCGGAACGCGCTTGAAGATGTCTACATCTGATCAACAAGAGTCAGATGGTCAGACGGAGTGAGTCAATTGTGTCCTCGAAGAGATACTTCGAAGGTACGTACACTCCTTTAAGAGATGGAGTGAGTTCTTGCCCATGGTAGAGTTTGCCATTAACAACTCGGTACATGCGTCCACGACACATACACCGTTTTACGTGAATGGCTTGCGCCATCCGCGTGTACCCACCTTACTAGAGTGTAACTCTGGTTTAAGGGGGGTAGAGAATAGCGCGAGCAAAAATCGATTTAGTTCACGCTCATCATGCTCTGACGAAGAGGTCATTGCGTTTGATGCCGATATCGATAACATCGATATCGAAGAAGATGATGCCAGTGAGATTGCGGAAGCCCTCACTGAAGAAAAGGTTGATGTGGCTGCAGTGCGCTCACAGCGCACTGTAGCTAACGAGTCATCAGATGAGTTCATACTGGCTCGTGAAACGGTAGTCCGTTTTGTGCAAGATTCCATCACCGAAGCGTTGGATAAGCAAAAGCAAAACGCTGACAAGAATGGAAGGGCAAACATTCTTTTATTTATTGGGTAGCAGTAAACTACTACCCAAGTACATCGGCCCATTTCGTGTATTGCACCGTCTAGGCAATGCATACACGATCGAGTTGCCACGTAAGATGCAAACGCATCCCACTTTTTACGTTGGTCGGCTTAAGCCGTACCATCAGTACGCTGCTTCTTCCGATGAAGAACGCCCTTGCGCTCAAGCATCTCGCAGAGGGCCTTGTGCTCCCGATGGTGAATATCAACAAGGGTCTGAAGAGCAGTTATCTCAGTCCTAGACCGGTCAATATCCACACGAGCTATTCTTAGCTCGTCACGAAGAGATGTCAGAGATCTCTTGTTCTCAAGCTGAGCAAAGGCAAACTCAGCTCGATGCTTCGAGACAGTGTCCGCCATTTGGAGACGCCTGTCCCGCTCATGTTCGAGATCGTTGCGTAACCCTTGCGTTACGCGATCAAAGAAGCTCTCGGGAACACCCGTATCACCACGATAGTTTGGAAAGCGTTTTCCCTCCTCCTACACCTCCATTAGAGGACTCTCGCGGTGGCCAGCGCTATTTAGTTGAGCAGCTATTGAACCACCGCGACGTGAACGGACGTCGGAAAAGTTACCTCGTCCGGTTGGCGCGGCTATCCCCCGTCCTGGGATACTTGGGAGCCCCGCTCCCAACTAATGATTGACGTACTGGGTCTGGTTGAGCAGTACGACGCGGCACATCCTGTGCCGCAGAAAAACCGCTGGAGAAAGTCTTCCCGGTACGGTCGTAAAGGGATTTCATGTTGTCAATCCCTTCGTACATCTCACTAGAGATACATACGCGCCACCACGGGCTATTAGAGAGGTAAGCCTCCTTAGGTGCTCGTGCAGAGTTGTTCACACAACATGGGCACGAGTCTCCCCAGGAGAGGCAGGGTAACCCTTTCTCCCTTGACAGACGATGCAGCTTGTAGCGTGCACCTGTCGGGGTTCGCTTTTCAAACTTATCACGAGCTTTGATCAGTTTGTCGTTCCAAGCGTCACGACCTACATCCTCAAGGTTATGGATGTAAGCGCTCCACGCTTAAAGCAGTGAGGGACCATCACGTTTGTGATTCCCACTGTACCATCGATGTCTAAAGAAAGCATCGATGAAGAATTCGTTTTCAGCGCGATAGTTTTTCGCGCTGGGGTCAAGGTGATGGATCCTTGACGAATCGAACAACCGTGTTCGATAACGATCACTCATCGTCGCCGACAAGTGATCCACGACAGATTTTGGAGGCATCCATGCCTTCTTCTCAGGAGCGAGACGCAACACATTGCGGTCCCGCTCTTCCTGCGATGTGCCGACAGAAGTACTGGCACCTCGTTGCGAAGTGGTGTCCATAGGAGAACCGACACCACTGTTAGCGCCCGAGTCTCGCGACCTCGAGCGCCTTCGCTTCGGCGATGGTTCATCTGATGAATCAGATGAACCAAAGATGCTGCGACGCAAAGCATCGTCCATGCCACGCTTGGCAGGTAGCTTAGATTCAATCGCCGTCGATACGGATCCGTCATCCGTATCAGGAGAGTACGAGACACCGAGCTCGTACTCTGTGAAGACACGAGTGTCTTCATGACCAGCGCCTGCATCACCAAGTGACACAGGCTGGGTCGCTTCAGCAACCGATGAGACATCAGTTGCTGTTGTTTCTGCATCGGCGTCCGCACAGAGACGTGCAGACGCGCTCTCGGCGGCTTTGCTCGCGCATCGCATGGGCTTGTTTACCATGCGATAAACTGTTGGAAAGTGGACTCGGACCAACAAGTGCAAACCCTGTCCCAAATGATTTGGGACGAGTATCTATTTAGTCAATCAGTCACTAAAGTGACTGATGGTTAAGGGGGGGGTGGTGTAACGGGGTGAATCGCTACATAACAATTTATAAGAAATTGCTAATAGAATTTAACTATAAGAGTCATGTTCTCAGAATATTGTCATAAGGACAAATATTCTGTAGCACTTACGAGTAGTTCCTAATTGGTTGATATAGGCCATTATATCAACCAACGAAGACGCGCCACGACAGACGCACGCAATGAGTGGTGAGCAGATATTTCATTTACACATTTGTATTTAGACATAGTTAGATGAAGATAAATAGTGATTTATTGCAGACATTAACTATGATAAATACAGCTCTACTTTTTACTTTAACCAAGTACTCGCTTCTTCCTACCGTCTTCCTCTGCACGTACGAGTGTACGTGAAGTTACGAGGCACCGCCTTATTCTGTCATCAGAATAAGTAGCTTGTACTGTCACCAGTACAAGCTTCAGGGTGCCCCGTTACAACGACCGTCACAGCAAATTGATCGTGTGATTGCATTAATACAAATCTGCGTCACCGCTCGAATCGAGACGATAAATAATACTTATTTATCAACTAGTCGTGCCTTTGCGAGATTAAATTGAAGTGTTTGTAAGTTTAGTTGTCTAATTTGCTACACGATTCAAAGAAGAAGATCGGTGAAACATTACATCGACCATATTGGCATTTTGCTACCACCCCAAGTGCGTTACGAGAGGACAAAAAGAGGAGTACTTACAGTCGACTGCGCTATCCAGCTATCCGAAACTACGACGAACCTTATACACATCTATTGGCATCGCATGGTCTATTTTCCGTTAACTTGCAACGTCTATAGCTGCAGAATAATGTTTATCTGCCGTGGAAAAACATTCCCTTTATGCTGGTTCCTTATATTTTAAAGTCAAATATTAGTACTTCTCTCGGTAGATTTGAGTCGATACCATATGTACTGTGTGTAGGATTGGCTCGGGGTTCTTTGTGTGAAAGGCTACACGCGATTGCGGTGTTTCCGGACGCTCCTTTTACGTCGCTTTGATCTTATGGTGTTTAGTTGCGTCCCTGCCGTCGACCCAACGATCGAAGTAGCAACGTAGATCGAGTACAAAATCAGCAAGCCTTCGTTGGGAACTTGATTACTCGAAGCGCCAGTGTATGGCACAATACTCCTTCCACGGTGCTATGAAGAACACCATGGCTGGTGCAAGAAAATGCAGCAGATAGTAGCTCATCCACCAGCAACAACGACAGCGAAAAATATCAACAAAAAACAAATCCATATCAACATCACTAACACGCGCTACCACCACAACGTACAACAAGACGCTCAATAACCAATACGTCGCTTCGAGCCTTATCGTGGACGCAAACGTACACGCACTACAAACCACATTCAGTGCATCAAAACTGTGATCGAACTAGAAGCCAAAGCTTCGACGAGTTGCCAGTTTTCCGCTTGCTTGCCATCTGCAATGTTCAAAATCTGTGCAAAAGCAATGACATACCCGCGGTGCATCGTGGTGCCTCTTCTTCCATATTATTGCATACCTGTATTCTAACCATCATAAAAATAGTCGTGTTTATGTATAGTCAGCTTTATATCCATAAAAGGAAGTGACGATATCGCTAATATAAAACTTCATCAAAGCATACTCGAGTACAAAAAAATACGAGCCACAGCGCCCCAATCGTAATGGCGTTAGGTACCAGTCGCTGTGACATCGTGTGGTTCGCGAGCCACTGGTCCAATGGAGATATTACGTGGTTGTGCAAGAGCGACGCATCGCTGCCGCTTTGGCGATACGCTACAATGTGCACAACACCGTTTTCTGTCACGTAACGGTATGACGGTATACTGGCTTCATCCTGACTGCTGGTAAAGGAGACTAGCAAACTTAAACTTTTAAAATCAAAGAATTAAGACGAACGCCTATTCCATCTTCGTAAACTACTTGTATTCATCCTGTACCGAATCTGGCACAAGTGTTGTAAAGAAACCGTGTCACGTTCTGGTCAAACTTTTAAACGTGCCACCTTCTTTAAAATTCCATCAATGAGATGTCGTCGATCGGATCTTTGTTGACGGCATTACCGAAAGCGATCATCCTTTGTCCACCTTTTCTACCATTCGTTTTTTCGAGCATCAATAACATACACACGTACCTTCAACGCACAAAGATGTATCAGCACTTGAACATTGAGCACACGAAACACAACCCATTCCATACCCGCTTACTGCTATAAATGGCACATGAATATTTAGAACGTGATTCAGTTACCTTGGACTAAATTACTTACTTATTGCGAGCCCAAAGGGTGAAGCTATCTGTGACTGTGCGCAAGCTGAATGTCGAACCATAAACCTCGTACATAACTGTATCAGTTTGTGTTGTCTATAAAAAATGCTAAGAGTACAGTCCTCCTCCCCATAAGTTATAGCACTGGTGGAGGCCAGATCCTATAACCTATCATGGGTTACTTCATTTGAAATAATTAATTAACGATCTAAAAAGCTGACCATTTACTATTTTATTACTTATCAATAAAGTACATTATTTGCTTAACTTTTGGTTTTAGTACCACGATTGTAATTTATTGATCAAAATAGCGGACCACAGAACATTTTTTAATTCTTCTGGTGGGGGACTAGTCTGGGCACCGCCCATAAAAATTTTGGAGTCCTTGTGCGTACAAAGCATTTTCTTTGTGAGTGCATCGAATCCAACTTATAAACATTTAATTGAACACAATTTATTGATTGCATCACACTCAACTAAGTCATTGAACTAAAGACAGTTCAAGTTCCTCCGTACACAATCAAAGTACTGTACCTTGTTTACATTTTGTGCGCGATTGCGCAACCTTTTGAAACTTGCCAGGCGGGCTGGCCACCGGAAATCAGGGTATAAATGGCACCCTTCTTCTCCTTCGACCAAACAAATATCCCTACATTCCTACATCCACACCTCACCTTCCCTCTCGCTTTCCCTCTCTCGCTTTCTGTCCACTTCCATTCCTTTCCCCAACCAACAATTTCCCTCAAAAACCCAGAACCCCACACCTACCCACCCTCCCACCCACTTACCCACCCACATATCAGAGATGTTTCAACTACGTCTCACCAAAGACCAGAAGCAAAGGATCATTAAACAAAAGGATGATCATTCGAGCCTTACCCAGACAGAGCTTGGAAACTAGACGAAGGAGGCATTCGGCCTCCCCAAACCTATGACGCAGGCCTCAATCAGCAAGATCATCAGCAAGAGGAAGGAGCTTGAAGCAATGAGTCCATCAGAGCTCTCTGCTAAGCGTCCCCGCTCAGTTCAACATCCTGCCTTGGAAGAAGCAGTGGCCCTCTGGATTTTGCAGTGCCAGCATCGTGGAGTTGCCCTCACCAGAGACCTGATCCGTGCCAAAGCTGCAAGCTTTGCGACGTCCATGGATATTCCGGATGGATCAATCAAGTTTACCCATGGGTGGATCTACAAATTCCGTCAGCGCCACAAGCTAAGGGCCGTCCGTATCCATGGCGAGAGCGGTTCAGCCGATGTGGCTGGACTTGAAGCAGCTCTACCAGAGTTGCAAGCAGCCGTCGCCAAGTTTGCTTCCCGTGATGTGTACAACATGGACGAAACTGGTTAGTTCTCCTGAAGTCTTTTATGCTCTGTGTCATAAATGCCAAGATGATTTCCAGGATTATTTTACAGCATGACACCAGATAAAACGATTGCCCAGAAGGAAGATGAAGGCTTCAAAAAAAAGACAAGGTGAGTTGCATTTGGATTGTTGGAATCCGTGGGATAAATGATTAATTGACTTGTTTGTCAGACTCGCATCACAGTGGCTCTGACGGCAAATGCTGATGAATCTGATAAGATCCCTACATTCTTCATCGGCCGTGCAAAGAAGCCTCGTTGCTTCCAACGGAAGTCAGGAGAAGAGCTCGGGTTTCTTTATCGCTACAACAAGAAAGCCTGGATGACTGGGGTCTTTTTCCAGGAATGGCTTGGAAACCTGGACAGAGAAATGAAGGTAATGACATTTGCCCATTCTGAGATATCAGCTGCAAAACAAAGCACTTACCCAGATTCTAGCGCCAGGATAAAAAAATCCTTCTGCTTATGGACAATGCACCTTCGCACGTAACTTTGGATCTTGTGCTCACCAATGTCACCGTTCAGGCTCTGCCGCCCAATACCACATTTAAGGTGCAGTCAATGGACGCTGGTATCATCGCTGCATTCAAGCGCCACTACCGGCGTCTGCACCTACAGAACGCTTCGGATCGCGATGATGCGGGAGCGGCCGATCTCTACAAAGTTGATCAAGTCACAGCCATGCGTTGGTCACTTATGGCGTGGAGCTAGATTTCAAGACCACCATTGCGAATTGCTTCAAGCACACTGGACTCATGAAAGGCCGACTTCACCAGCAGTTGAAAGAGGCGCTTCAGCAGGGGACATTCAGCAGCCTGTGCAACAGGATGCAGATCTTGGTAGACCAGGAGGAGCAGGAAGTGGAGAAGGATCCATAGTCAGCTCTGCAACGCCTGCCTTTGCGCAATTCGGTGTCTGTTGCGTCACTGCTCAATCCAGTTGATGAGGAGCCGACGGTGCATGCGGAGTTAAGCGACGCCGAGATCATCAAGCTCGTCCAGGATGCTGAGGAGGCGGAGGAAGGAGAAGCTGAGGAGGAGGTGGTGACACATTGCATAGCTGAGAAGTTCGCTGCTCTTGCTTTGTCCATTTCCCTCCTTGATCTCTTCCAGGATCGAGACCGCGCCGCCCACCGCGCTCTTCGTCGCATTCAAGCCTAACTTCGTAGTGCTATTACAATCCAAACCACACTGGATATATGGCTTGAATAGGCTCCAGGATGCTCTAAACAATATTCATCTACTTTTGACAAAAAAAATTGCTCCCCCTGATACGTTATATTGGGCCTGGGCGGGTATTCCATCTTCCGTATTCCATAGTCGCCATAGAACGGCGTCGGTGGACCCGAAATCGTATAACTTAGCAGAGGTTATATTATAGACGGGGGATTACTTATGGGGGGGAGGACTGTCCCACTAATATCGTACCAAATGCGATGTAGACTATCGCTTTTTTGAGTGTCTGTAAAGGAACTCTAAAAGTGCCCTACACGTCATACTTCGTGTGCTGTAGCATGTATCCCCACTTTATTTTAAGTAGGCGTTACTAAGAGCCCGAAAGTCGAAGCGACAAGTGACAAAGCGCAAGGTACGTGACTGCACAGTACTTGATTCAGTTTTCTCAGCTAGATTACTTAAATCAATGGGCGAGCTCTGAGCTTGCTCCCCTATCTCATTACATGCAAATTTACTTTTCCTTTATATTGCCCCCCCCCCGACAAGATAGAAGTACCTTCCTCTACATGTACGTGTGCGTGAAATGCCGATGTCCCTAACTTGTACTGTGTCAGTACAAGTTACCAAAGCCATTATCGGTTAAGGCACAGGGTGCCCTGTCACAGACGTGTATGTTGCGTGTTTGAAGCACCGAATTACTCTGTATCTAGTGTATGTATCTCGTACTGTGTTGGTATAAACGCCCAGTTTGCCGTAGCAGTACGACTGAATTGTGTTGATAAGGGTCGATGTTTGATACATTTTAGGCATTCGATTCTATCTAACAGATCGTTTCATAATGATAAGAGCCTAAAACAGGATAAGGTTGCAACCTGCTCACTTTTCACTGTGCGTGTCTGTCATTGTTCGGTGACCTTGTTCGAAGTCATCATGGTCCGTCTTAGCTGATAAGCAGTGTTTTGTATAACGTAACCTGCTTCTCACAGTATTACGCTCCATTGTAGTATTGTTTTGTATTTTCCGCTACGATCATATTCACATTGACATTCAGGTTAATGTTCATGTTGTGTAACGATCTCCATCTCTTACACCCCTGGTCGTCAACAATGCCCACATCATCTGCAAGAGAAGAGGATGTTTATCCGGTGGAATGAACCGCAGCGTGTCTTAGTTACATCTTTTACTGCTGTAGAAATCGATTTTGTTTACGGCCCTGCAGCATCGCACCTGTTATACACAGGCATGGGCTAGTGCGTGACCATGTTTTGGGCGACACCTGTATCAAAGAAGCCCTGTGCGTGCAGCTTGTAGCCTGCGTTAGCAACGTCTCCAGCCAGCCCAGCCATTGATTTGTCCCGCGATACATCAACAAAGTACTGGCGTCCCTAATCAATGAATTTCCTGTCCACATGTCGCATCACATTGAAGTCGCAGCCTGTCAAACAGTGCTTGCGAAACATACGGTGTAAGTAGACGAGACGCAGTTGGCCGCAATAAACGCTCAGGTGTTTGTCTCGATACTCTTGTCAATACAAACGACGACCGTGTTTCAACGCGATTTCCACAAGGGGGGAGGGGCGACATTGACTATAACATCACATTTGTTACGTACGAAGCAAGTCTCCAACGGGTCACCTCCTATCGGTCGTACTGCCTGATAAAAGGCATGGAAATGCACCCAGCTTCAGTCGCAAATCGAGTGCAGTCGCCCCTTCGAGCGTCACTTTTGCTTTTCTCCCTCTCCATCGCTTGTGCCTGAGGTCTGATCCCTCAACAGCGTCACGCACATGATCGTCGACGAGACGTCGTCGACTCGTCGCGTGTCGCACGTGCCTGATGATCCCACGTCGGACTCGATCGAACTCGTTCAGCAGCATTCGAAAACAGGTGCAAGCTTCGAGGCCACGACACATTTACATCGAAGCGTCGCTCGCTGGCGACAAGTTCGGATTCAAATGAGCCAATTGACGCGCGGGCTGAAGCGCTGTAGAGTCCGCAGTATGGACGGATCCAGGACCGAGGTCACTTGCAGAGCTTCGATGCTGCACAAGGATTTCTGGCTGGAAGCGCTGGATGAACAGCACCGGTACGGGTTCCATCTCCGGGCTTTTCACCGAACCTGGAAGCTCGAGATGGCAGCGGGACTGCCGTCGGGCGAGCGTGACGACGCGTCGTTTTTTCACTGGCTCGATCACGGTAGAGGGAGCACCGTGGACCTGCCGGAGTGCAGCCAGCATCATCTGCGGTCGACTTGTGTGCAATACTGTACCGAAGAGCAGCGCGGAAGCTATGAGATTGAGTTTGTTGCGCAAGGAGATGGAGATAACGTGACGGTACAGTATGCCACGTCGAAACATGCGGTGCACACGGACGACCGCAGCAAGTGGATCTTCGTCTTGGACCTTTCCGGGCGAATGTACCTCGGACGCAAACGCAAGGGGCGATTCCACCACTCGAGTTTTGTCTCGGGAGCTCCTATCTTTGCAGCAGGCAAGATCGCTATACACCACGGTGTGATCATCGCGATTGAGCCACACAGTGGCCACTTTAAGCCACGACTAGAGAATCTCTTGGCACTGTGCTTTGTGCTGGCGAAACGTGGCGTTGACATTGATCACGTTGCGTTTATCAAGCCAAAGAAGTGGATCTGTGCCTGGCCTTTTCCAACACAGCCAAACGTCGAGCTTAGTGGTATTATTGGGTGCTCCGATACGGACTACAGTGCGGATAGATCCGACTCGGACGAGTCGCAGATACTGCAGCTACCAGTAGATTAAAACTGGCACAACAATGTGTGCTAGCTGTAACGATCGTGTTCATCTTGAGTTGGCCCACTTGCGTCTCAGCTAATGACCTGAAGCTGTGCATAATCTTTTAGCGTCGCTTGTACTCGCAAGCTTTGAATCGAATCGCGCCAACTTTCTGCGGTATGCGCGATGACTTGGCAAACTCAAAGAGCACGAACATCTTATTGCGCTCGTCCTTGTGTGTGCAATCGAATCCCATTTTACCAAGCGTCTGGACGAATCCAGGGATTCCGCCCAGTGTCTCACTCTCAAAACGGCTTTTCACCTCTGCAATCTTCAACACACCTCCAGGTTTTAGCACACGGTACACTTCCCGTACGTACTCGCGGACACTCGTTCCCATGAGTGCCAAACAGTACACGCCAATGTCGATACAGCTATCGTTCAACGGAACCTAAGTCAGCAGACAAACACCACACGATTATCGTCAGGCAAATGGTCCTCATTAACAGGTTCTCACACCTACGTCTCAACGTACGTGAGCAATATTGCATGCCGTCACATGCTTTTTGCGGGACACTAGATCAAACGAGTGGACTTTGTTGGGCACGCTCTCAGCCAACCTTGCATCCCCACAGCCGAAATCAGCCACGACTGCGTTCGGATGACGCCTACAGCACAAACAAGACGACACGACTAATATCGTTATTTGGAGAGACAAAAGCAGCTCTGTTCTGATAAATTAGTAGACCTCGTACTTGACGTAGTCGATGAAACTGTCCAGAGGGTTAGTAGGCCACTTGTCCGACATCTCTCGAAAGCCCTGATGATACACGTCAAAGAGCTCCGGGTCGCTCTGAAACGTCTGGAACGATTCGTAACCTGTAGCAGTGTACAGCTGCTCGTTGAGCATACGAAACTTCCCTCCGTCCAGTTTGCGCCGCATTTCTGCAAGTCGCTCGGCAGATGTCAAAGCTTTGGGTTTACTCTTCGAGCGCGTTTTCCCATTCGTTGGATGCTGCTTCTGCTTAGTTTTTGGTACATCTGAAATCTGCTGGGTCTTGTTCTTTTGACGGATCTTCTTGTTGCCACCTGGAGAGGCTGCTTTGTTCTTGGCTCCGCGTTTGCCGGTACCTTGGCTGGTCTTCTTCCCCATTGAGTGACGGAGCTATTGAAAACCTGTCGTTCAGAAAGGGCACACGTGGGAGACCTTATTTTAGGCATGATGTTACAACTTTGTGTATGTACATGATCTTGAAGATCTCTTTCGGGTAATATGGCTTCAGCGAAACCTCAAGTTTGGACTAAAATAGCCACCGCCAAGGACGATGCGTCTGCAACGCAGGACGAGGTTGTGGCAACCCGGTCAAGGGATTGTGGTATAACGTTCCTGTTAATCACATTTTACTCTTTACAGCCTTTCTGTAACGGGGCACCCTGAAGCTTGTACTGGTGACAGTACAAGCTACTTATTCTGATAACAGAATAAGGCGGTGCCTCGTAACTTCACGTACACTCGTACGTGCAGAGGAAGACGGTAAGAAGAAGCGAGTACTTGGTTAGAGTAAAAAGTAGAACTGTATTTATAATAGTTAATGTCTGCAATAAATCACTATTTATCTTCATCTAACTATGTCTAAATACAAATGTGTAAATCAATTATCTGCTCACCACTCATTGCGTGCGTCTGTCGTGGCGCGTCTTCGTTGGTTGATATAATGGCCTATATCAACCAATTAGGAACTACTTGTAAGTGCTACAGAATATTTGTCCTTATGACAATATTCTGAGAATATAACTCTTATAGTTATATTCTATTAACAATTTCTTATAAATTGTTATGTAACGATTCACCCCGTTACATCACCCCCCTTAACCATCAGTCACTTTAGTGACTGATTGACTAAATGGATACTCGTCCCAAATCATTTGGGACGGGGTTTGCACTTGTTGGTCCGCGTCCACTTTCCAACATCTCATCGCATGGTAAACAAGCCCATGCGATGCGCGAGCAAGGCCGCCGAGAGCGCGTCTGCACGTCTCTGTGCGGACGCCGAAGCAGAAACTACAGCAACTGATATCCCATCGGTTGCTGAATCGACTCAGCCTGTATCACCTGGTGATGCAGGCGCTGGTCATGAAGACACTCGTGTCTTCACAGAGTACGAGCTCGGTGTCTCGTACTCTCCTGATACGGATGACGGATCCGTATCGACGGCAATTGAATCCAAGCCGCCTGCCAAGCGTGGCATGGACGATGCTTTGCGTCGCAGCATCTTTGGTTCATCTGATTCATCAGATGAACCATCGCCGAAGCGAAGGCGCTCGAGGTCGCGAGACTCGGGCGCTAATAGTGGTGTCGTTTCTCCAATGGACACCACTTCACAGCGAGGTGCCAGTACTTCTGTCGGCACGTCGCAGGAAGAGCGGGACCGCAATGTGTTGCGTCTCGCTCCAGAAAAGAAGGCATGGATGCCTCCTAAATCTGTCATGGATCACTTGTCGGCGACGACGAGTGATCGTTATCGAACACGATTGTTCGATTCGTCAAGGATCCATCACCTTGACCCCAGCGCGAAAGACTATCGCGCTGAACATGAGTTCTTCATCGATGCTTTCTTCAGACATCGATGGTACAGTGGGAATCACAAACGTGATGGTCCCTCACTACTTCAGGCGTGGAACGCCTACATCCATAATCTCGAGGATGTAGGTCGTGACGCTTGGAACGACAAACTTATCAAAGCTCGTGATAAGTTTGAAAAGCGAACCCCGACAGGTGCACGCTATAAGCTGCATCGTCTGTCAAGGGAGAAAGGATTACCCTGCCTCTCTTGGGGAGACTCGTGCCCATGTTGTGTGAACAACTCTGCACGAGCACCTAAGGAGGCTTACCTCCTTACCAGCCCGTGGTGGCGCGTACGTGTCTCTACTGAGATGTACGAAGGGATTGACAACCTGAAATCCCTTTACGACCGTGCCGGGAAGACTTTCTCCGGCGGTCCTTCTGCGGCACAGGATGTGTCGCGTCGTACTGCTCGACCAGACCCAGTACGTCAACCATCAATTGGGAGCGGGGCTCCCAAGAATCCCAGGACGGGGGATAGCCGCGCCACCGGACGAGGTAACTCGTCCGACGTCCGTTCACGTCGCGGTGGTTCAACAGCTGCTCAACTAGATAGCGCTGGCCACCGCGAGAGTCCTCTAATGGAGGTGGAGGAGGAGGAAAGACGCTCTCCACACGATCATGTGGATCGGTGTGTTCCCGAGAGCTTCTTTGATCGCGTAACGCAAGGGTTACGCGACGATCTCGAGCATGAGCGGAATAGGCGTCTCCAGATGGTGGACACTGCCTCGAAGCATCGAGCTGAGTTTGCCTTTGCTCAGCTTGAGAACGAGAGATCTCTGACATCTCTTCGTGACGAGCTAAGGGTAGCTCGTGGGATTGTTGATCGGTCTCGGGCTGAGATAACTGCTCTTCAGACCCTTGTTGATGCCCACCATCGGGAGCACAAGGCTCTCTGCGAGATGCTTGAGCGCAAGGGCGTTCTTCATCGGAAGAAGCAGCGTACTGATGGTACGGCTTAAGCCGACCAACGTAAAACGTGGGATGCGTTCGCATCTTACGTGGTAACTCGATCGTGTATGCATTGCCTAGGCGGTGCAATACACGAAAAGGGCCGATGTACTTGGGTAGTAGTTTACTGCTACCCAAGTTAGTCACTACATGCTTTGGTAGATTAACCGTAGACAGTAGGACTAATTCACCTTTATTAAATAAAAGAGTGTTTGCCCTTCCATTCTTGTCAGCGTTTTGCTTTTGCTTATCCACCGCTTCGGCGATGGAGTCTTGCACAAAACGGACTACCGTTTCACGAGCCAGTATGAACTCATCTGATGACTCGTTAGCTTCAGTGTGCTGTGAGCGCACTGCAGCAACATCAACCTTTTCTTCAGTGAGGGCTTCCGCACTCTCACTGGGATCATCTTCTTCAGTGAGGGCTTCCGCACTCTCACTGGCATCATCTTCTTCGATATCGATGTTATCGATATCGGCATCAAACGCAATGACTTCTTCGTCAGAGCGTGATGAGCGTGAACCAATTCGGTTTTTGCTCGCGCGAGTCCCTCCCCCCCTTAAACCAGAGTTACACTCTAGTAAGGTGGGTATACGCGGATGGCGCAAGCCATTCACGTAAAACGGTGTATGTGTCGTGGACGCATGCACCGAGTTGTTGATGGCAAACTCTACCATCGGCAAAAACTCACTCCATCTCTTAAAGGAGTGTACGTATCCTCGAAGTATCTCTTCGAGGACACGGTTGGCACGTTCCGTCTGACCATCTGACTCTGGATGATCAGATGTTGACATCTTCAAGCGCGTTCCGAGTGATTTGAACACGGAACGCCAGAAATCAGCAGTTAATCGTGGATCTCTGTCTGATACGAGTTCACGGGGCAACCCATGAAGTCGGAAGATGGTGTCAATAAAGACACAAGCACAGCCACTTGCCGTGATTGTCTCTGGTACAGCCACAAGGTGTACCATTTTGCTGAGTCTGTCAACAAATACGAGAATACCCGTATTCCCGCGTGCGTCTTTGGGTAACCCGAAGACGAAATCCATTGAGATGGATTCCCAGCACTCAGCCGGAACCGGTAGAGGCTGTAAAGGTGCACGCAGTGAAGGACTTGACTTCACTCGTTGGCAGACTTCGCATGCGCGAACATACTTTCGCACAAACTGATACTGGCGGGGCCAGTAAAAAGTCTCGACTTACCGTGAGATATGTTTTCTCTCGGCCACGATGTCCTCCTATAGGAGCATCGTGATACTCGAACATGATCCGCAAACGCAGATCAATATCATCTGGAATGACAACACGTGGTGTGTCACCAGAAACGGCTGTATAGTACAGTAAACCGTTACGAGTAGTGTATCGATCTGATGCAGATCGATACGCAGACGACAATCGTTTCAACGATTCTCGAGATGGTTGGGAGAGATGTGACAACAACTTCACTATCTCACCATCTTGGGCGTATGCCCGCCTCACATCATCATACAACGTTGTAGATGGAACTGAGGACGTCATAACCGCAACAGTGACTGTCTCACTGTTGGGTTTCGCGACTGTTTCAAAGTCGGGACGACGTGAGAGTGCATCAGCGACGACATTAAGTCGTCCTGGTTTGTACTCGACCGTAAAGTTGTATTCTGCAAAGAATGACAACCACCGCGCCATTCGTTGTGAAAGGTGCGGGCTGTTCACTGCCGTGCGTAAGGACGCATGGTCAGTGTAAACAACGAAGGGTCTATCTCCTAATAGATAGACTCTGAACTTCGCGAGTGCATACTTCATGGCAAGGAGTTCCTTGTCATGCACTGGATAGTTCCGCTCAGCTGGTTGCAGCTGACGCGACTGATAGCAGACGACGCGTTCAACGCCTTCAAGGTCGTACTGCATTAATGCACAGCCGATTGCGAAATCGCTGGCATCACAGACCACATGAAATGGCCTGTCCTGATCGGCTATTGCTAGGACTGGGGATTGTATCAAGCTCTGCTTGATACCCTCAAAGGAGCGTTGACATTCAGCGTTCCATAACCACCTCTCGTTCTTTTTCAACAAACGAGAGAGGTGTACAGTCATCTCGGCGTAATTGCGTGAATACTTATGCAAATACGCCGCTAGCCCAAGGAATTTTCGAAGACCTTTGACATCGACCGGCACGGGCCAGTTGGTGATCGCCTTGATCTTTTCGGGATCAGGACGTACACCGTTCTTACCAACGATGCACCCAAGAAGTGGTATTTCGCTTGCTGCAAATATACACTTCTTGAGGTTTGCATACAATTGATGCTTTCGCATGATTGTAAGAACTTGTCGGACGTGGTACTTGTGAACCTCTCAACGTCCGACTTTCCATCCATAGCTCGACTATGGATGAATACGTCATCGAAATAACTCGGCGCGAATTCTCGTACTGGCCTCAACAGATGTGATACACACCTGTTGAACGTGGCAGGGGCATTACTGAGCCCTTGTGGCATTACTAGCCATTCCCAGAGCATGCCGCTAGGCGTGCTAACTGCGGTATAGGGTATATCCCGTTCCCGCATTAGGATTTGATAGAAGCCATCCATCAAATCCA